GCACATGTATGGATTCCTGTACAAATGTATGAACTTGCACTGAAAACTGATGGTGACTGTATCAATACATGATGTGAACCAAAGAGTGGTCCCATCATGCATCTGTCTGTCTTCACGCTCATAGTTTGCACTGACACCAGAAATTGTGGTCTCGCTGTGAATTTGTTGCCCTGGCAGCCAGCAAGCAAGCAAGCAAGCAAGCAAGCCAGCCAGCCAGTCTGTCTGTCTTTTTGCAAACCTGTGATAACCAACTGTAGTGATTCCGGTTTTAAAGTGAAGGCAGTAATGTAATTCGATGGATGGTTGATGATAAACTTACATGAAGTGTTTGAAAGCAATTGGAAATGAATAACCAAAGCAATGTAATGCCTCATTAAATTTCGCCATTCACTCAAGATTCTTAGAAATTGCTTCCCAACTTGTGGAGCATTTTGCTGCTGTTCCCCTTCTGTGTGTGTTTGTTTACTTTGTTTTGAAGGTTCCAGTCAATGAATTGACATTCTAATTTTCATCTGTCATATAGTGAATGTTGAGTTTATAAAAAAGTATTGTAGAAGTAGATGACAGCTGCCTGCCAAAACCGCATGGAATTTAGTATGTTATCAATACACTGGAGTTGTCAATTTGTGTTTAATAGTACATGCACATATAATGTAATGCAATAACTTACAATATTGTATGAACTGAATTATTCCTAGTGTTTATCCGTATGAATGCATACAATTGTGTCATAGGTTGACATATTGACAAACAGTTTTTAATACTGGCTTACCAGAATATTGTGGATTTAGTTTTAACTTTAGCCCCAAACCTGCGTATCAGTGAAACAATAAATAAGTTGAGAGAGTTATGAATCAATGGATTTTCTATAATGAGTCTGTTATATGTAAATGCTAGTTCCAGGGCCCTATACTAAGTATGTGTTGTACTATTCAGGTTCAGGACGAAAGAGGTGGAAGCATCATTTATGAGCATTATATCAATGGTGATAATTATTAATTCTTTGCTGTACCATTTCCACTTGATTCTACACTTGATAGCGCCCTCAACTACAACTCAAACACTAGATTATCTCACATAGATATAAACTAAATATCTAATATAATGGTGCTAAATTCATTAATCTTAGTTTTAAAGTGTCCTATTTATTGTGTGGCACACTCAATGTATTTTTAGCTCCGCTGTCGACTTTGTCGAGCGGAGCTTATCATATGAGTGATTGTCCGTCGTCGTCGTCGTCGTCCGTCGTCGTCCGTGTC